GTTAGAATTGCTAATGACAATCAATGTAAGGATCAAACTGAGCCTACACAGAAAAGACTAGCGTCAAAATGCAGTTAGAATGTTTAACTTACGTCCGTTGCACACCACCCTTCTACTGGCCGTAACACAGTTCTTTGCTATCCAGGTACCTCTGTATTTTGCAAATAAGCCAGTAACAAGAGCAGTACAATTCACATTCATATCTCTTGGGTGACGATGCCCGCTGCTAAAAAATGCTGAAGAAAGAAAGGTAATTTGAGCTTGTCATAATTAACATCGATTCCAGAAACAAATATACTTCTTACTATTAACTTTATAACAAATAACAAACAAGTTCTCGTAAACTCGAAAGCTCCGACGAAGGCAGTAAAGTATATTGGCCCTAGCGGCCGCCCATTCGAAAAAGATATTATTAATCAGCCAAGTGATTATAGTGACCCTAACGGCCGCCCATACAATAATAATATATTAATTTATCAATCAGCAGAGTAGGCCTACTCATAAAGCTCCTCATAGGAGCTAAAAAGATATTATGTTTTTTTCAAATCATAGTACACAAAAATAATAATACAAACTTGTTTCTATCTCTTTCTATTTTACGTATGTATACGTATACGTATGTATTTTAGCTTTTGTTTATCAATTTTGTATCTTTACTTCCCAGTCTCTTATTATATGTTTTCTTTGACTTTAGCCGAAATTTAATAATGATATAATAATTTGTAAGACTTATATATCGCTTCCTCCACATTATCAACACTGGTCACAAAGTCCATCTCATATAATTTTTGTAATAACAAATATTTATATAGCGTCAATTCAAAAATTTATCAAAGGTAGCTAGGTGGGGAAATAAAACAAGTTAACTTTTAGTCTGTTGTCTTATGTCATATTTTTTAACTTTGTACATTTTTTGAGTAGATTCTTTGCACACATGTCTAAATAAAAAATCACTGATTAGGAAAAAATGGCTGCCAGTTTTTTTTATTCACTTCTAGGGCCTCCATTTTGAATTTCAAAATGGCCGCTGCCGAAAATTAGTTTTGAACAAAACAAAATTGCAAATAAATCATCGTTATTCATTTATATATCATACAACAGTCATTTTATTTTATCTGATATCACATATTGGGATCAGTGATGCATTGGGAAAAAATAAGAGCACAAAAAATAACCCCCTCCCAGAAATCTTGCTCCCCCACACACCTGAATATTCTTTTGCAAAAAAAAAGTTATTCTCAAGTATTCACAAAATCGCCACATATCACCATATTTTGCCATCTGAATCTCCATAACTTAATCACTGAACACTGACACTTAACCTTCTCCCCTTAATTCCACCTGCCCCACCACCCTGTCCCGGGCCAGGCCCCTCCCCAAACTTCTTTGAGAATTAAAAAATGGAGATAAAAGAGAAAAGGTATATTCAAATTTAGGCCTAAGACGGTGAGTGCCATTTCCGGTCGTCTAGTTGCCATAGCCACAACATTTTGTTCCTCGGTTTCCACAATGTTGGACAGGGGCAGATTTAGGGAGGGGAACGTCCCCCCTATTTTGCCACTGTCGTCTTTTTTTGTTAACAGTGAAAATACAAATTCGCATACAAATACTAAGTGTAACAGCATGTACTGAACATCAATCATGCCATTACTAGACATATATTTTTATAATAATAATAATAATAATAATAATAATTTAGGCCTATATGAAATTGTGCAGCAGCAGCGCTATAGTAGTGGCATGCCTTTGGTTTGGTTCTGGTGTGAAAAAATTACTTCGTAAAGTTAGGAGTATATCGGAGTGAAAAGAAAGGTCTACCAGTTTGCAATGTTGAGATGTTCCAATACTTGACAGACCTTTCCTTCTTGAGATCTGTAATGGACAGTGTAGTAGACCAACTGAATGGTGTTAACATATATTGCCTAAGTTGAAGTTGCACTTAATACTTTCCATAATGTCACTTTGTCCTCAGCAAACCAAAAACTCTCAGTCTGATCTGATCCTCCAGTTAAGAATTGCTTCGTCAACAAGGGGACACAAGATTAGGTACTACGATATTTTAAAATCATACTGGATCATATCCTAACAGTTCTTCAACAAAACAATACAATGGTTATTAAGACACAGTCTCATGTAAACCCTATTAAGGTTAGCAGGGACTGAATGGGATGAATGTTACAACAGTCTGAACATCACCAGCAGTGCTTGTAGCATGCAGTACTCTGGTGCATGTTGTACACTGCTCCATGGAGTCACAGTTTGATTCACAAGAAAGTTAACCTTGTTCTGAAAAATGAAATAAGATTTGTAATAGTTGCCGATGAGAAAACCAGTTAAAAACATTCGAGCTCGCAAATAAAAACAGTAAATCATGGCAGTTTAAATCTTCCACCTACATCTTTCAAGAAACAGATAATTCCAATTCATTATGCTACAAAAGCTCTGTTACAGCACCCCGAACCAACCAACTTTGGTCGTAGACTGATGGTCCAAGCAATTAACTTTGTACATTTAGCAGTTTGTTGACTGCCTTTTCAGTAAACCAAAAGGTTGTAAACTTGGAAAAAAAGACTTGGGTTAACTTCAACAGACTTGGTGCAGAATCCAAACAAAAGCGTGAAGAGCCATGGAACAAATCATCAAACAACATAAATGAGAGGAGGCCCCTGGTTTGTAGATTAAGAGCATCAGCTGCCAAAGAAGATCTCCCATGATGAATCCAAAATCAAACTAAACGAAAATTGAGTTTTATCACAGCAATTCACATGAACGATGCTGCTGTTTCCCATAAACTTTCCATTTGGTGGGAAAAAAGTAATTACAAAGATGCTCCACTGATGCCAGGTAGATGTACCATTTACCTTTAGAAAAAAAACAGCGTTATCACCTCTCGCATGACAGTAGCTATCTGCTCCATTTGTACAATGTAAATTTAGTCAGCTGGTACATAGCCATATTTTTTGGATGGAGACAACATTTCCGAATTTGTATCACTGACTGCATTGGATTGAAAATTATAGCCTTTTAGGTTTTTTGAACATTTGAGTAGTCATCAATAATAGATGACAGTTTATCTCCAATTATATATCCTTTATACAATTTGTGTATACAGTACATGAATTTATCTCCCTTTATATATATTGTGTATACATATAATACATAGGACTATATGAATATGCAAGTATATGCAAGTGATAAACAGATGAGGGTGATTAATAATTATCTGTCTTACTTGCTGTACACCAAGAACCAGTGGCGGATCCAAGAATTTGAAATAGAGGGAACCTGGAGAGGGACTTTTTCACAGCTGGAGGGTTTATACTACCTCAGCCCCACCATGCTTGGGCTGAGGTAAGAAAATTTATGATTATGGCACCTCTAGATGGCCGGAAATGGCACTCGTATACTCAACATTGTAGTCGAATTTTCTTTCGTCTTATTTTTCTTAAATTTAAATTTGGCAAATTTAGAGGGGCTCAGGCCGGCTGAGGCCCCCCTTGAATCCGCCTATGAATAAATAGTGCTATTCAACTACCGTATGCATGCGAAAAGGAACGTGAACGATCAGCTGCTTTAATTTAATTGCCAAACGGTGTATCGTTCAAAATTTATATATATATAATCTGTCTCTTATACACATCTAGATGTGTATAAGAGACAGGTCTACAGGAGCTCGTGCTTCGTACAGGTCATTTCATTAATAGAAAAAGCCTTTTTATTGGAGAAAGCGTACCTGTCGTTAGCCATATTAGCCTAGGTCAATCCTGCTAACTCCAACTTTATAAAATTGATTACACGATTGAAAAAATAATCTTATTATTGTAGTAGTGACACTATGTCCACGTTGTAATTATTGTTATTTATTCAGTAACGTTATTATATATATTACATTTAAATTTAATGTATTGTTTAAGTATGAAGTAATAATAGTAATAGGCCTAGCCATAGCCGAGGCATAGTCTATAGCCTTGGCGGAGGAAATGAAATACAAACAAATGCTTCTATAATATCATAATGCGAACAATTAATAAATTACCATCAAACACAATCTGATTCGTGTGTGCTCTGTCACGGTACCATTTAGATGTTTTATGCGAGTAGTGATATCTTAACAGATTCTCAGAGTTTTGCGAGTGATCGACCTCAAGGAAATTTTGAACAAAATCGTTTTCCTCTTGGCTATCGATTGTCAGTAAGTTGGAATTTATTTTGTTGCATAACTCTTCACCTTCTTCATAATAGTGTGACCTGGTTGTGTAAATGAATCTCTTTGTATTGAAGTAATGCCATTCAAGTCCTGAAATATATCAATGATCAATGAAAATGATATATGGAATAATAATAATTATAATAATAATAATAATAATAATAATAATAATAATAATAATAATAATAATATATAATAATAATATAAATAATAATAAAATAACTTTGTAAAAAGTCGATGCGCTCGATCCGCTGGTTGCTGTATTATAGAGGTGTGCATACTAGCAATTATAAATAGCAGTGTACGGTAGTAGTAAATGTGCACGTATTAAGTGTAACGTTAATCGAATGTATGTGGTTCAAATCTCCCTCTTGTTTTGCTATTTTTTACTTTTTTTTTGTTTTTTGTTTTTGAATTTTTTTTTAAATTAATTTGTTATTTTTATAATTTGTACATTTGGGACAGCAAATTTTGAGATATACAGTCGGAGTATAATATGGATATCTTAAAACCCGCATTTTACGCGAAATAAGGCCTAGCATAATCTTCAGGTGGCAAGCCCAGCAGTCCGGCTTACAGGCCTTCAAGGCTGCTTCCCTGTCTGCCGGCCAGAACTTGACACAAGGTCGGTAATGTCTGCGGTGTAGAGAATAATTGGTGATCCGCTTCACTAAGCGGATCACCTCTTGTTCTTGTCAGAGATCTTTTTTTATTCTAGCTTTTTCCACATTTCTTGTTCGCACGATATCTCAAAATTGCCTCGAGCTAAGCACATAGCAGCTTCAAGGAACATTTGGCTTTTCAATATGACCAGTCATATACGCGTAATTTGGCGTTTTTACATTTTCAATCATATCATCCTAACCAATTGCCATTTCGAAATCATATTTAGTGACCTTAAACGTCAGGTGAAAGTTGAATTTCATGTACTTAAATTTTACCCACGCGCGTCAGAACGCGCGTACGTGTGCGTCGAAATTATAAAATGCTTGAATTCACCTTTTGACTAAATTAGAGCACGTTTCAGGTCATTCTGAGCATTTCAATATTTTTCAAATTTTTGGCGCCGCGCCCACATTTTTAGGCGTGCAGCGCGAACTGAAGCTGGAAATTTCGTTTTTATTTTAGCTGTTTTGGATTTCTGACACTGTATTCACATATTTCCATTCTTTTTCAGTCATTTTAGGGCCAAAAACAATGCCGTACGCGCGCATCAAACATACTATTGTGCGTGTTTTTGTCGACATACACTGATATCATAACGTGCGCGAAAGCGTACTTTAATTTTTTTATATTTATTTTATATATTTATTTATAACGTCATAATTGTTATACTCAATTGAACTTATCTTGCTTATCTTGATCAATCGTCTCCCACCTTTAAGTATGTTTTAGCTGAGACAGTTTGCTTTCGCAATGTGTCATTTATTTTTCACTTTGATAACGTCATCATGTCAAAATGAGTGTTTTTCTGACCCCTTCCTCTTTCTTTCTTCATTTTTTTTCAGAACCCCAGAGAGAGGACGGCGGGCTTGATATTGTCATGCACTGTTTGAAAATCCTGGGAGTTTCCCATAATTCATACATTTTAAGCGCCGAGAGATGTCTTTTGCCTGACAAGCGGACCACCTGGCTCGTCCTTAGTGACGAGTTAAAATCTAGTTAATAATCAAAGTTCATCTATAATTATCGTCAGGTTTCTAAATTGCACGTTCGTAATCACTACTCTCCTTGTCAAAATTGGGAAGGTTGAACCTGGTGTAACTCTGCGGATTTTGTTGCGATCAATTGTGTAGGAGCGGCTATCCTTATGTTGTAGCGATTGCTGTATCGCAGTGTAGCGACTGTATGGAAACCAGGCTTAATTGAAGCTGGGCGCACACCGCGCGGCATTTTGCGAGACTGCTGCGACGTCACAACGACAACGATCTTTTTCAACGAGCATTCTTTCAGACTGCAACCACCAACGGTCATTAAAATCACCTTGCATCGGCAAACGCGATGAGCAGTCTAGGCACAAACAAATTCTTTCACCGACAGTCGCACACTGTGTTCTTAGTCAAGACCGCAGGCTTCCCCGGGGCCGTGAAGCGATGTGATATTTTCTTTAAATATCTAAAGCTGGAGTAACACGGACAAATTAGTACAGACATTTTGGTTAAGTTTTTTCATTTTGACAGGAGTATGTTGACACTTGATATTCCCTATCCACACTATTAAATTTTTGATAAATAACTTGTTACCTCATAGAAATTTCAGGGACAATATAAAAGAGGGTATACTGGTACTGGATCTATTCTTGTGCAGTTATCTACCCTTTCCCAATGGTCTATGCTTTCTATGTGATTGGCTGATGATTTTCAGATGTCCTCAAAATCTGAAGGCAAATAAAACATGTGCTATACCTTCCAGCACTTTTTCACTCACTGTGGATATTCAAGAGGACCACAGGTTAAAGCAAAGGTCGCAGTAAAATCACAGACTTGTGGCTCAAACCAGATACCACCCATTAATCTTTTTTGCTCTGGATATTTGAAGACAAAAATTGACCGTGTGACGCCAACTTTATTCTCTCCAACTGAATTTACACGTAAGCAGAGTGCAGTGAAAAAGTGTAATATAGGCGATCGGTACTCTACCTATCTTATTTCGGAGAAAAGGAATCGTTTTTCAAAGTCGGGGTGGGGGGGGGGCACTATAGTAAGATGAATAGCAATATGACTCCAGGCGGATGTGGGATCGAATTTAGGGGATGGGGTCAACATTTTTCCCAAAAAGGAAATGGGGTCCGAAGACCCTCCCCAGGAAGATTTTGATTCCTAGATGGTGAGAAATGACGTTTCTCGACTTTCGAGCTGGGTGTCTTTTAATGAATTTTAAGTTCTTCATTCAAAATTCAAGGTTTTTTCCCCTCTTGAAAACAGTCAGGTAAATTTCTCATTCCTTTACATTAAATGGGCCTGTTATGTGTGTATACATACTGTAGATAAAAACGTTGATTAGTTGCATACATGTTATTTTTTTTCAATGAATCGATAAACCACAAAAAGAAAAGGGGTGTGGGTGTGTTCTCCCTCGGGGAAATTTAAATTCTTAGAAGGGAAATAACCTTTTTCGATTTCTAAAGTGTCTTTTAATGACTTTTAAGTTCTTCAAAATTCAATGTTTTCCCCTGTTGAAAACGATTCTATGAAACAATTAACCCAAAGAGAAAGGGAAAATGAGCTTTCCTGACTTCTGAAATGGATTTTAATAACTTCACTTTTAAGTTCCTAAAAATTAAAGGTTTTACCCTCTTTAAAACGGTCAGGTAAGTTTTTCTCATTCTTATTACAGTAAATTATAGGCATTATGTGTGTATACATATATAAACAAAATTGAGTAATTGCATACGTATTTTTTTTTTTACATGAATCGGTAAATCCCAAAAAGAAAGGGGGTCCGGGGGTTCTCCCCGGAAAGTTTTTATTCCTAGATGGCGGGAAATGAGCTTTCCTTACTTCTGAGGCGTCTTTTAATGAGTTTTAAGTTCTTTAAAATTAAAGGTTTTCACTCCTTGAAAACGGTCAGGTAAATTTTTGTCATTCTTATTACAGTAAATATACCAATTATGTGTGTACCGGTATTACACATACGTTGCATACCTATTATTTTTTTTCATGAATCGATGAACCCAAAAAATAAAGGTGGGGGGGGGGGAGTCGGTGGTCCTCCCACGAGAAAATTTTGATTCCTATATGGGGGGAAATGAGCTTTCCCGACTACTAATTTTCTTACTGTTAAAAAAAGAAAAATTTAACTTACAGGTCATGGAAAGGTAGGTCTAGAATTTTTTATTTTATTTTATTTTTTTTTTCAGGACCCCTGACCACAAATCCGCCAATGTGAATTGCGATTAAATGTAACTCGGTCGAGGACTTGATAAACACTTTTTTCCCCTCCCTCTCCTCCTTCTTCCCTCTTTCTTTTCTTGCATTTGTTTCTGAGCATCTCTATAGATATTTTATATTTTCGGCCAAATAATGAGGGGGTGGGGCACCCGGCCCCACGGTTTCGCCGGCCATGTCGATGATTAAAATGTTTCTGTGTGTCGTCAATCAAACTCGTAAATGTACCTTTTTCACATATATATAAAGTGTTATAGGAGCATTGAATAACCTTCCATGAGCCATCTCTGAAGTCAAGTACCGCGCATGCCTTATTTTCATCTGATAACGTTGTGTCTGCTGAAAAATCTAAAAACAAAAACATAATCTCGTTATTTAAGATAATTGTACTGGACCATAGAGCAATATTAACGGTAGGAGGGCCGTTGCAGTAGCATGAATATTATTAGGCATTTTTCGTTTTGACTACGCGGCCAGTCTACTACAAACTAATGGAGCGTGACGGCAACGCCAAGACTCTGTTCGCGTAGTAGACCAAGAGCTGTTTTCGGTTTTTTTAAGGCGACTACGACGACGTAGCACACACGTAGGCCTACGGAGGGGAGTTAGTCGACCATAGTTTTATTACCAGAGAACAATGTTCCCTTGTTTTATATTTGAAAAAGGAAATGTGAAAAAAAAACTTTAGCCAAATACTGTATACACAATAAAAAGTTTCCAGTAAACACTGAGTGATGTTTCGCTGTTGGCTAGGATCTAGGCCTACCTAGGCTAGGCCAGCCTAGCCTAGGCCCTAGGTGTCAAAAGAGTCGTTACCGGGAGAAGAGGGGTGCCAGGCCTGCTCAGGCAATTTGCCAAATGCAACGATGATGTACAAATAAATAACCATTTTAAACAGAGGTATTTTAATTTATATAGCAAGGCTTGATCCACGATATCAAGGGCGGATGCCCTAGCTAACGGCACCAGATAATGTGTTTTCTCCTACCCGAAATCCACCCTGACAAGGCTAGGCTAGCCTAGGCCTAAGGCTCTTTTTTCACTATCCCCTGATTTACCTAAATTTATGTTGTGACTATTCATTCCTCATTTATTGCATGTGTATAAATAGGCCTTTATATAAAACATTTAATTACTTACTTGTTTTAATAATTAATTCATTATAAACGAACAATGGTCGATCGCGGATGCGATGAAAATTGCAACCCCCAACAAAAAAGTTACCAGCAGTTTGCTAAACAATCCAGTGATCTGATTGGTCAATATTTAGGGTAGTCGCCACTACGCCAAATTCAAAAATTGGGGTTGTCGCGGAAGCTGTCACAACGCCGATTTTGCCAGTAAGGTTTGTGAGCATGCGCAGATGTCTGTTACGCTCTATTAGTTCGTAGTAGACTGGGCGCGTAGTCAAAACGAAAAATGCCTATTATGTATTTGAGTAGAGAAAGGGATTTGGATTAGGCGGAGATATACTATCTATTGATTGCTCTTGTTATTACTATTATTATTATTATTATTATTATTATTATTATTATTATTATTATAAATAATAATAATAATAATAAGAATAATAATAATAATAATTATTATTATTAAATTGTTTACTACTGCGATTTTATAGTTTTTTTTCCATGATTATGACGTCATTTAATTTGATTTGTGAAAGTATTCTTATAAACTATAAATCGTTATCGATTCCTGCTAGTGTGGAAACAATAGCCTTTTTAGCTTTTTTATCCTTAATCATTATCATCATTAGTGTAAACAGGCATTTACACAAAAAAAAAATTCCATAACTGTGCAATATTTTTAAAATTAAGGTTTTATTGTAATAGTCGCAAGCAAAAAAAAAAAAAAATCGAGGATAACACGTACTTGAGTAAGAGGATTTTTCCGATGAATCAATCCATGACCACGACGTCAGACTCTTAGTTTTCCTGTAGTATCCAATAAATGCAATTAACTTCTGTTTTAGCTGTATTTGTCTATTGAAGGATGCACCAGCTTCAGTTAATTTATCGTTTTCTTCATCGTCACTAATAACGGCGAGGGACGCGCCATAGGATAAGCAGACCCTCGCTGATTCCGTAAAGCTGCGTCTTTCCGCTGTAATAATGTACATTTTGTCTCCAACAATGAACCAATTTCGTGGACTGAGAAGAGCTGTAAATAGTAACACCAAAATAATTTTACTGTACAATAAACAATCAACAAAAAAACTAAAAATTACTTCACAATTAGTTTGAAATTAACCTTGCCCTCCTAATAATCCAAATTGTGATTTGCACAGCATATGCGCCTATAAGTACAGACAGATAATTGTTAGATTATTCAACTAATTATGGATCAAATACATATTTACATTATTTTTTAAAATTTAATTTTCGCCAAAACGTCGCAGACACAGATCCACCACTTACAGCAAGGTTAACAAACGACAAGACGGAACAAACACACATAGCATAATGAATTTAACTATAATCACGCCTAAAACGCTACGACGGACTGTAGACAAATTAGAATTAAATATATCAATAAATGGATTGGCCTTAACTAAATTGTTATATGAGGAACTTAATCTACTAAGAAACCCGATTTTCAAAATATGACTAATAAAAGGAACATAAAGTACATAATTATTTCTTAAATTACGAATAGGAAAACTAAGGCCAAAGTTAGATACTAATTCACAATCAAAGGTAGAGTTTTCTTTCTGTGTTGAGGACTCCAATGGAATTTAGTTTACTTGTAAACTTTCTTGGGTATATTCCTCAGTTCATTCAGTTGATATTTTTCTTTGTACATTTTATCTGTTTGTGCGCTTTTTTGTATGTTTGTTTTTATCTCTCTGAATGAACTGAATATCAGACATTGTAAAATATTTCTCATATCAATAATTTAAGCTTACATGATTTTACCTTTAGACATTTGATAATTTTTACAACAAAACAAAATATTCTATTTTGTTAAGTACTGCAAGAACAAAAATTTAACCTTTGTTTATCTGATTACCGACATCGCTAGTATTCGGATAGGATGAATCATCATTGTTTGCATCTTGATAGTAGCTCAAAAATGTTGTATCAGCCTATTAACTGTTTTATGTGGAGTCAAAATGCAGTTGTAACATGGTTCTTACATTGCTAATCCGATAATCAACCAATGATAAGAGAAACGTTTCTTTCTCAATATTTAGTAGAAACACACCCTAGGAGCCAGCAAACCCTACTAGGTAGGCCTACCCAACTTATACTCCTGGGTGAAGAGTGTCCTACTTAAGGATACAAGCAAAATGCACAGCAAAGGATTGTAGCCCCCATCTCTAGTTTAAGAAACTAAACGGTTCCCACTGCACCAAGCTACAATAATACACGTCCACTTAACTGTGTGTACTTGTAGTAGTGGTATCAAATAAGAAATTGCAAATTTGTAAGTTATGTAGAGTGTGCAAAGTGATCAATCTATTAATTATTCAATACCTATGTTGTTAACTGTATCACAAAAACAACTACAATAAAAAAAACTTAAAATTATACAATTCTCTAAAACCATAAGCATTTATATTTCTATTATTGTAAATTAGTACAAAATGAACACACTTCCTATGAAACCATTATTCAGGATGAGTCAATCTTGACAGATTTGCTAGATAAAGCAAGACAACATTACTGCAGAAGGAATACTAATCTACAAAGCTGTACAACATTTGACTGTCAACAATGCACATTTTACCACATAAACAATTTTTAGGCTCCACTAGTAACTACTGTATGTCATCAAATTGGTAATTCATTTGGTATAAACCAAATCAAGATTTTGATATTTAGTTATTTAGTTAAGATCCTTTAATTGTAATTGTTTTATTGTGTAGTTAATTGATTGAAATATTTGTATAATTTATTTAGATTATTTATATTAGATTATATGGACCCCAATGGAAATAAGCCCACAACTTTCTTGAGTCATCCAGGAAACTATTGAATTTACATATTTAAGTGTTGTCTTCATATGTATTTAAGTGATTTTCCAAATAAATTCAAATCAAATCAAATGGATTCAAAATACAAAGTGTGAGCGAAAGAATAAATTATTTTTATTTTTATTATTACTATTATCATTATTATTACTTTATTAATTACTATATCTTCACTTACCATAACTTAATGTAATTTAATAATTTGTTAATATCACTTAATTTGATTAAATTGCCCTTGTTATTTATTTACCTTTCTGAAGAATTTTATATTCTATTTTTTCATGTGTGAAATAAAATAAAATGAGATAAAATGGAAAAAAAAAAAAAAAAAAAAGTGATATGGAAATAATGGCTCCTTAGCTTCTGTTTTCTATAGTGTTCTCAAAACTTTTATATAATGGCATGCAATCTATAATTTATGTCCCAGCTAACAATATTACATTATAAGAACGTTATAATAATATTACAGTTTGGTGTTGAAAACACTATTTTGTAGAACCATATATATATACTTCGAACCTAATTTCACGTCATACAGAAATATTGGAAATTTTGCTTTCATTTCATTTCATTTTATTCATATATCAACGGTACATAGCTGAATTGCATGACATTTACAGTACGATTGTTAAAAATAAGCCTTAAACAACGACAATGTTTACAAACTTTTTGATTAAAATAATTAAAACTAGAGGGCACTCAGAGAGTGCACATATTTCCGCCCACATCATAATTCTTCTCCGTATAAATTTCCCCGCATTTTGTCCCCATTAAAAAAAAATAATTGAAAAAAAAAAATAGACTCCTTGGGATTTGAACTTCTAACCATTACACCAAACTATTTTCATTTAAATCACTTTGAAATTAATGGTTATATCTTTGTTTACACTTTACCAGCAAGCCCATATTAGTACACTTCACACATGTCTATATGGCAAACGGTTATACAAGGTTTTCAATCATTGTGTCCTTGACCTTTCACCCTGACCCTTAAAAATTCAGTCATTTCCAGATCTTTGGTATAGGCACATTGTGGCCAAGTTTGAAAAATTTCTGATAAAATCTGTTTCAAAAAATAATTTTTTGTTGATTGTGACCTTGATTTTCAACACTTACCGTTCAACCTTCAAATGCTTTGAGATCCCTTTAAAATATAATCAGCTCCAGATCTTAGGTAAAGGAATATTCCTGCCAAAGTTGACAAATTCCTGATAAAAACTATGGGCTGTAGGCTGTTCAAAACAAATATGCCGACAAATAAATAATTAAATAAATAAATAACAGGGGCAAAAACATAACCTCCTGCCAGCTTCATTGGTAAAGTTAATGAGTTCTTTGGTCATGGAACATTGTGACCAAGTTTGACAAGTTTGTGATCAAAACTATGGGCTGTAGAAAAATTTTAAAAATAGTTTTTCGTTTATTGTGACCTTTGACCCTGACAATTTAAAATGTAATCAGCTCTAGATCTTAGGTAAAGGAACACTGTTTGATGAATTTCTGGTAAAACATATGGGCTGTAGGCTGTTCACAACAAATATGCCGACAGACAAATAAATAACTAAATAAACAAACAGGCTAAAACATTACGTAATAATAAATGACATAGGCCTAAAAGATAATTCATTAAACTACAATCAATATGATCATTAAGAGACTTCACTGATTTCCCTATACAATATCCAAGGCGTAAAAAAAAACAAAACAAAAAGACCAATATTAGATATGATTACAATATTTTATGTAAACTACAGGAGGCTATGTGGTATTTACTAGGTAGTTATGACAACTTGAATCAGTTGTTAAATGCTAGGTCATCTGATACTTTGCTCATTGTAACTATAATCTGGTGAGTATGCTCCTTAGGGATTAGCATAGTATCCTGGTCTTAAATTCCAAAAGAAAAGGGACATGGCTGAATGGCATTTAGTGCAAGTTAAGATTTCACAGACCAACTAGCTACATAGACTTGCCACAATTCCCTTAATATTATCGAGTATGGGATGCCAATTAAATTAGGTACAGCATGCACAAAGCACATAAAAACATATAATGATTTATCGGAAAGTACACTTTTGAAACAGTGGCATACTATGATAAACTTAACTGCATGTTTGACTCCAGTTTATGTTGTTTTGACCAGTCAGATCTCGTTGGAACTCTTGACGTTTGATAACATTTTACTAAATACTATTACTTTTATTTAAAATAATTGTGTTGCTGCTGTCGGTGCTGCTGATGCTTCTAACTTTTTTTTTTTTTTTTTTATTAATTTAATCCGATTTACGTTAGGCCCAATAAAAAAATTATTAGTTTATCACCCTCGCGCGCATGTCTTTTATGGTACTGAAAAAAAAAAAATTGAAAAAAAATTTTTTTGAAAAAAGGGTGATATTTGGTTTAGCAAAATAAAAAATAAAAAAAAAACCTCCCCTCCTCATCACTTTTCCTGCCCAGATAGGGTGATAAACTAATAATATTTTTTATAGGGCCTTATTATTTTATTCAGTAACTGAATAACTCTGCATGAATTTTTCATCAATTCCTTTTTTGAAATGCTTTCCTCGTTTATTTTTCTTTTCTTGCACTGTGTTTTTGCTTGTGCTATCGTAGTTGATGTTAACTTGGGATTGCTTTGTCTTTTTTTCCATTTTTTCATGCTAATGTTTCCATTGTTGTTGCTGCTGTATTTTATTAGGTTGTATTCAGTGTTCTCCCCAGGCCCTTGAAACTTTCCCCATGATGCTTGGTAGTTGGCAATTTTTCTCCCATGATGCTTTTATCAGGGAACAGTTAAAGTATTTAACTGTTCCCTGCTTCTATATAG